CCCATGTGGGCCTTTTTCTGGGAGGAACAGAACCTTTCTGCACAGCAGCTCCCGGGAGAGCAGGAGAGAGCAGGGGCGCGAGCCAGCAACCTGGAGAGAGAAGAGAGCGAGGTGGTCAGGCCAATGGGGCCAGGGCCTGTGGAGGCAGGAGGATGTGGGCTGTCGGGGAGGCAGGGAGCTGAGAGGGGCTAGAGATGGGGCTGGGGTGGAGGTAGAGGGCTTGGAGTGAGAGAGAGGGGCATGCGATGATCTGTGGGGAGCACCTGAGGGTGGGGTTCAAGGTTGTCCTGGTAGAGATGGTAAGGAGAGATGGGGTGGGGTGAGGCATTGGAGCCATTTTTGGAGAACTGGGGGCTGGTAGACACAGGAGGGAGTGCTGAAGCAGAAGCGGAGAGTGGTTGGTAGAGGTATTGGGGGACATTCAGGGAGCTGGGAGGGGGCCTGGTTTGTGATAGATATAGGCGTGGAGGGTCCCCTCAAGAACTTGAAGGAAGGGCTAGTCGGGGGGAGGCTGTTTTAAAGGTGGTTGGAGAGGTTAGTGGGGGGCCAGGGAGAGATCTGGGGCAGGGGCAAGGGAGGCTTCCTTGGCTTATCTTGTTGGCACTACCCGATGCTCCTGTGCCCTGGACTTGCCTTTCCTTCCCTGCCTGGCTTTACCAGGTCCCAGCCGGAGCCTGGAGTTGCTATGGCAACTTCGGAGGAACCCATTTCCTTAGTGATGTCTGTGGTATAGACTCTGGCCTGGAGCTCAGAGCTGCCAGCAAGAGGCCTCTGCTATCCCTGATTTCTCTCCAGGCCTCGCCCAGTTCCCAAAGGCCAGTCCTCTGGGACTCTGCCGTCCCTCCCCCTGAGTAGACTTCCTCCCTGTAGGTGGCTGGTGAGGTTTTCCTCCCTTGGGGCACTGGAGATTGCACCTCCCTCCTTCCCCCCATTAGAGGTGGGTCTGTAGTGTGGGTGGCTGACCCAGGCACCCAGGCGGGCTAAAACATCTGTACACCCAGGCACCCCTAGAACTTCTGCTTGTGGCTGGTGCCCCACTACTTTTCCTCCCTCCCGGGCCCCCAGGAGCCCTTGAATATCTGGGTTTCAGCCCTAGCTGTGTCACCTTGGTAAGGCACTTCATTTCTTCTAGGCCTCAGTTTCTTCATCTATAAACAGGGTAAGTGGGGTAATAACAGTTTCTATTTCCGAGGACTGTGTGAGGATCGAATGACTCAATGCATTTTAAACGCTTAGTGTACGTGCCTGGCACACAGTAAGAATTCAGTGAACCGTTTCTTACATTTTTATTAAGCCCTCTGTAATGTGTCAGGAATGAAAATAGCTCTCAGGTTCCTTTTCTTGCTAGTCTATGTTTGATGCTCCCCCCGAGGGTCCCGATTGGGGAAACTGAGGCCCAGCTCGGGCATCACAGCTCTGTTAGGCGAGAGGAGTATTCTGACTCCTTCCTCCTCATCTTTTCTTACAATCCCTATCTAGGCCTACTCAGTTATTTCTGAGCACAGACCTTTGGGGACTTCTGTGCTTCTCAGAGGGTGAGTTTCAGGGACCACCTAGGGGCAGGACCACGTCAAAGGCGTATATGGGGCATAGTGAGCCAAGTGATGGGGGCCTGGGTATCTCATTGCCAGGGACCTCAGTTGCCACTCACTGTGTCCCATCAGCATGGGTGGCAGTGTCAGGAGTGGACTCTGGTCTGTAGAGGGGTGGGGTGATTAGAGGGTGGAGCATTGCTCCCCAGGACTTGTGCCTGGCCAGGGAAGTTGTGCATTCTGTGCCTCTAGGGGCCATGGGGACAGGGGTGTGTCCTGCCGAGAGGGTGGGGCCAGCTAGGGGCAGGAATGAGTGGGAGACTGCATTCCTGAGAGGGCCTCTTCCCATCCAACCCGTCTGTTTTCCCTCTCCACCTCATCCTGTGGGTCCGAAGCCTTATTCTTTTCTTTCCCTCATGCTCAGTTCTGTTTCTGCTGTTCCCTGGCTTCCGGGGCTGGGGGGAGGGGGCTGGCCAGAGCCCGTGGGGCTGAGTCTGTACCTGGACCCAGCCACTAGCCCAGTCTTCTGATGCCAGAGCCGCCAGCCTCTCCCCAGCACCTGCTCTGGCTGTGCCCGCCTTTTGGGGGTGGGGGACAGGAGGGTCTGGTCTGTGTCACCCCCCCAAGCCTGCCCAGCATGCCCCACCGCCCAGTCCCTGTCACAAGCTGAGGGTCTCAGAAGGGAGGCCCCCTGAATCTTCTGCCCCTCTCGTCTTGGTTCTGCAGCAGCGTCCCTCAGAGCGGATTGCGCAGGGAGGAGCCTGACCTGCAGCCTCAGCTGGCCAGCGAAGCCCCACGGCGCCCGGCCGCGCCGCCTCCCTCCAAATCTGCACTGCTCCCTCCGCCGTCCCCTCGGGTGGGCAAGCGGTCTCCACCGGGACCCAGCACCCAGCCCCCTGCCACTCCCACGTCGCCTCACCGGCGCACTCAGGAGCCCGTGCTGGCGCTGCCCGAGGACACTGCCGCCGAGGAGAAGCGAGGGAAAAAATCCAAGTCGTCGGGGCCCTCGCTGGCGGGCACGGCGGAGTCCCGGCCTCAGACGCCACTGAGCGAGGCCTCGGGCCGCCTGTCGGCGCTGGGCCGTTCGCCGAGGCTGGTGCGCGCCGGCTCCCGCATCCTGGATAAGCTACAGTTCTTCGAGGAGCGACGGCGCAGCCTGGAGCGCAGCGATTCGCCGCCGGCACCCCTGAGGCCCTGGGTGCCCCTGCGCAAGGCCCGCTCACTGGAGCAGCCCAAGTCGGAGGGCGGTGCGCCATGGGGCACGCCTGGGGCCTCGCAGGAGGAGCTGCGGGCGGCGCCGGGCAGTGTGGCCGAGCGACGCCGCTTGTTCCAGCAGAAGGCGGCCTCGCTGGACGAGCGCACGAGGCAGCGCAGTCCGGCCTCGGACCTCGAGCTGCGCTTCGCCCAGGAGCTGGGCCGCATCCGTCGCTCCACGTCACGGGAGGAGCTGGTGCGCTCGCACGAGTCCCTGCGCGCCACGCTGCAGCGCGCCCCATCTCCTCGAGAGCCGGGCGAGCCTCCACTCTTCTCCCGGCCCTCGACCCCCAAGACCCCTCGGGCTGTGAGCCCCACCGCCGCGCAACCACCCGCTCCCAGTGTCGTGGGGAGGCCTGGGGACGAGCCGGGGAGGCCCCGGAGCCGCGGGCCTGGGGGCAGGACGGAGCTGGGGGAAGGCCCGCAGCAAGAAGTTAGGCGTCGGGACCAGTTCCCGCTGACCAGGGGCAGAACCATCCAGGAGTGCAGGAGTCCTGTGCCGCCCCCTGCTGCCGATCCCCCCGAGACCAGGACCAAAGCCCCATCTAGTCGGAAGCGGGAGCCTCCGGCGCAAGCTGTGCGTTTCTTGCCCTGGGCCACACCGGGCCAGGAGGGCGCTGCTGTACCTCAGACCTTGGAGAAGAACAGGGCGGGGCCTGAGGCCGAGAAGAGGCTGCGCCGAGGGTCAGAGGAGGACGGTCCTTGGGGGCCCTGGGACCACCGAGGGGCCCGCAGCCAGGGCAAAGGTCGTCGGGCTCGGCCCACCTCCCCTGAGCTCGGTAAGGCCTCAGGGAGGGCTGAGAAGGTGCTTGGACCTAGGTGGGAGAGGTTTAGGGGAGCGCAGGACCGGTTGGCAGGAACATCGCCTGGCTAGGGGCTACTAGGCTGCTGCCGGGGTGCGGTTTGCCAGAGAAGGTACCCAGGCTGAGTGAGTGAAGGCTCATGAAGGGCCCTGGTGCTAGGACCTGCCACGGAGGAGTATGTGTTGGAATGGAGACTGGGTGGAGCTGCCCCGTGAGCAGAAACTGGTGCTGGGTTTCTGCCACAGGTCCCTTGGGTCCATTGGCTTACTAAGCTGCCGGGTCAAGGAACAACACTGCAGGGAGGCACTGGTAGGACCCCTAGAAGCCCTTCCACACCTTATCTGTGGGAGAAGAGATGGTAGCCAGTCTCAAATAATTTGTCAAGTTCCTATTACAGGCACACTTTGGGCCAGCCAACTCTACTTGACCCTTTCCATCCTGGCCCCATCCCCTGAGCCATCTTGGCCACCCTGACTCCTAGCTTCTGTCTCTCATCCTTGCACCCCTGTATCAGTGCCCCGACTGGCCCTGCACCTGCCAGCCTGTGTATGGGCTCCCAACCTTCCCATGGGTGAGCAACCTCACGTTCAGGAGAATGCTTCGGTCCCTACCTCTGCACATCCTGAACATCAGGTTGGGGCCCAGGTCTGCGGAGTGGCAGAGGAAGACATCCTTGGCTCCCATCCACAACCTGCTGCTTCCCCAGGTGCCTTGACCCACTGTCCCCTGGAGACCCTGCCAGTATTTATTTCGTTGCACTTATCACCCTATATTTTTCTTCATCAACGTTTTTATTTTTAATTTTTTTAATTTTTAAAGATTTATTTATTTACTTATTTAGATTTTGTTTTGTTTTGTTTTCCTGTAGGGAGTATGCACTCACCAGAGAGAGACAGAGAGAGAAGGGAAGTATGAAATCTCCCCCCAGGGAAGATGGCTATGCTGCCAACCTCTCTCTGTTCATCTCTCAGGATTTTGGGCACTCACATACATGCTCCTGGAGTGATTATCAACCATCCCATGTAGAAAGTTGACCATGTGGGATCTAGCCACCCCAACCACCATGCCACTAGCTAGCCCTCCATCAAAATTATTTTGCATTGGGACCAGCAGATGGTGTAGTGGTTACATCGCTGGACTCCACATGGCTGACCGCGGTTCAAGTCCTGGACCTGGTGGCTTGAAAATCACACCAGGCACGTGTGCATGCATGCCCAAGATCCCAGGAGGAGAAAGGATTGCAGCATGACCATTCCCCCTGGGGGGCGATTTCTCATTTTGCTTCTCACAGTCTCTTTCTCTGGCAAGTGCACATGCTCTGAGACAAAAACCTTTTAAAAAGTTATTTTGCATTTAAATATCACCACCTCAAAATCTCTAGAGATTAAACCCTGTCTGTTGTCCTTGCCACCATTACTGCACACCATAGCCATATCCTAGGCATGTTGTTAGCTGGACACTCATCTCATTTTTGTCTGTTGGCCAGCTCTGCATCTTACAGATGGAGAAACTGAGGCAGAGAGGTTATCTATTTTGTCCAAGGTTACATAGCTAGAAAACAGCAGAGCTGGGATTCCACTGCTCTTTTGGTCGCCCGTGTGGTGGCATTGTCCTTTATCTAGCATATAGGATGTCAGAGTTGGCAAATGCCCAGAGAGGTGCACGACAGTGGAGTTTTGTCATCTCTCTGTGTACATGAGCTTCCTGTAAGCAGGGACACCTCACTTCCTGCTGTATCCCTGGTGCCCATATGGTGCTCAGTAAGTGCAGTGCACTGCTTGGAAAATGGATGATCTCGGACTCACCCACCTGCTGCTCCCTGTTGTGAACCTGGTTGCGTCATGGACTTGACAGTTCACGACATGTTGCCCTGTGTCACTGTGATTATTGTTGCTGTTAGCCTATCCTCTGTTCCAGAGCTGGCACAGTTTGGTGCCCCCCATAGAGTGCCTTGCATAGGGCCTGATGACCCTTAGGTGATGACGGGTGTATGTGAAAACATACCTGCCTTCCTCCAGAAGCCAGCACCATTGTGGATGGAGCTGAGGAACACCCCCATGCACATATTGCCCTAGCCATCCTGTCCTGTTTGAGAATCCTTGCTCTGGCTCCCTTTATTCCTGTCTCAGGACATTCGGGAGAGAGACCCTCTGCTCCCCCAACCCTTGCCGTCAGAAGCCCCTCACTGGGTTTGACTTTCTAGACTGCAGGGCTGCCAGCGCCCTCTCTCCATGAGTCCCCACTGGGATCATGTCCCTTTACCCTGTCATGTCTGTGTCTGCCAGAGTCTTCAGATGACTCCTACGTATCAGCTGGGGAAGAGCCCCTGGAGGCTCCTGTGTTTGAGATCCCCCTGCAGAATGTGGTAGTGGCACCAGGGGTCGACGTGCTGCTCAAGTGCATCGTCACCGCTAACCCCCTGCCCCAAGGTGAGCTACTGGGCTGGGCCTGGTTAAGGCTTAGGTTGGAGTGGGGGAAGGAGGAGGGAGGCTTCCCAGAATCCTCTGTGGGGAGGGGTGGGGAGAGGGGGATTATCCACTCTAGGGACTGCATGGCCATTCCCCCTGGCTCCTGTCGGGGTGCAGGGGGTGGTTCCCAGGACCTTCTGGGAGAGGAGAGGGCACCTCCTCAAGGTTCCCTGCTGGGGAGAGGAGTGGTGTCAGCTCCTGTGTGGTGGGGTGGTGGTGAGGTCCCCAATGTGAGTTGCCTCCCCTGTGCTTCCCCACAGTGTCCTGGCACAAGGATGGGTCAGCGCTACACAGAGGGGGATTATCCACTCTAGGGACTGCATGGCCATTCCCCCTGGCTCCTGTCGGGGTGCAGGGGGTGGTTCCCAGGACCTTCTGGGAGAGGAGAGGGCACCTCCTCAAGGTTCCCTGCTGGGGAGAGGAGTGGTGTCAGCTCCTGTGTGGTGGGGTGGTGGTGAGGTCCCCAATGTGAGTTGCCTCCCCTGTGCTTCCCCACAGTGTCCGGGCACAAGGATGGGTCAGCGCTACACAGCGAGGGCCGCCTCCTTATCCGGGCCGAGGGCGAGCGGCACACCCTGCTGCTCAGGGAGGCCCGGGCAGCTGACGCCGGGAGCTACACAGTCACTGCCACCAACAAGCTGGGCCAGGCCAGCTGCGCCGCCACACTGGCCGTGAGACCTGGTAGGAAGCCCGTTGGGCCATCACCCCTCCCGGTGGTTCTGAGGTTCTGGGCCCAGGTCCCTTCTACTCCTAGTTGGGGCTCCAGCATGCAGCAAGCATGCACCGACTGCTCGGGTGTCGGCCCTGCCTCGGAGGGGTGGACCAGATTCCCAAGGCACACACCAGGCTGACCAATTCAGGAAGTCAGTGAAATTTGTCTTTAGACAGCCTCTAAATGCCATCCTCCTGTGGCATTTCCCTGAACAGGGTCCTGTGGGGAACGCAAATTGTCCTTGAGTCTCTAAGAGAAAAGAATCTTCCAGCTCAGAGGGTTAAGAGCTACCCTGAACCCTCTGAGGGTGTTTTCTCCATAGGACAGTGCCCCACCCCCACTGAAAACGGGCACTTTCACGTGCCCACCCTCCTCCCCCTCCTACTGAACCCCAGCCTAAAGAGGGTGCAGCTGATGGGTTTTGGGAGATGGTAGTGAGGCTGCCTGGTTTTCTATTTTTAGGAAAGCCCTCACTTGGTGTCGGGCTACTTCCTCTGGGTTTCAGCCCAGTTCCTTCCTGGTTCAGGCAGGGCTGGACTGGTGTCAGTGTGTGTGGCCAGTGCTGCTCATGCAGGTGGCTGTGCCTGACCCTGTGCTGACCCTGGGCAGTGGGGGTGCGGAGGTGAGGATGGGCAGGGAGGGTTACTGAAGTGAAAGGCACAGACAGCCCAAAAGAGGGCTCCACTGGGTGACCACACAGAGATGGGGCAGGTGAATCCAGGGCCTGGCGCAGCTGGCCCGTTGACTGTGTTCTGGGATGCCTGTGCAGAGCCCTGAAGGAAGCTGAGATTCAGCCCTGCGGGGGGGAGGGGGAGACATGCCGGGAGGGGGAACAGCACACACTGTTCTGTCCCTGTCTTCTCCTAAGTACTGCAGGAGACAAGGTGACGGCCTGCGTGCTGTGGTCCCAGGCCTCCGCTCCTTCGCTGTGAGGGAGTTCTTGGTGGTGGTGGATCTCAGTCCCCCTCTGTGGCCTTGTGACCTGGCAGGTCTTCATCCCCCTTAGCTTCCACATCCCTCCCAGGAGCACCTGTGTGAGGCTCTCTCCTCCTCCTCACCCTTCCTTCCACGCTGAATCATAGCTGTCCTCACTGCGTGCTTCCGCCCTTCCATCACCTCTGGGATCTGGCCTCTGACTCAGCTCCCAGCTCTCCTTAGGGGGCCCAGGCCTGGCTCTTGCACTCAGGTCCATACCTGGTTTAGGCTGAGATTTGGCAAGGGGCGGGGTGGGGGGAGGGGCCCACTACTGGCTCGGGGCCACTTGGGAGTTTTTTATGGTTGGGAAGGCAGCTTGGGGCAAGGCAGCTGTCAGCACTTGACTGGGAGTTCTGTGTCTGCCACGCTGAACGTCCTGAGCTTGGGTTCCTCATTTGCAAAGCAGAGATAATTACACTGTCCTCACAGATGAAAGCGAACCGTGTGAATGAGCTTTCTGAACTGTAAAGCTGCAGACAAATGTTAGTGGTTAGTGTTATTAAGGGGTAACCTTGTGCACAGGCACCTGGGCTTCCATGAGGATCTGGGAAGCGGATTCCCCTTCTCTGCCTGTTTATTCAAACTGTGTCTTGGGGTCTCCATTGGGGGCCTTGCAAGGCCCCCAGCCCTCAGCCCCTCCACATTTCCCATCCCCTGTGTCCTCAGTCCACCCCAGCATCTCTGCACCTTCTCCACCCTGGGGAGCCATTAGTCTCTTGCACCAGGCAGACTGCAGGAAGAGAGCAGAGCCCCTAAGTCAGGCTAGCTGGGCTGACTCAAGGGCCCCAGGGCCCGAGGGGCAGGCACGTGGATCTAGACTCAGCTCTGGCTATTGTGGAGCAAGCTGACTTTCTTACCCTACAAGGCGCTGTTTGGTCGGGAGTGGCTGGCCAGGGGCCAGTGGACGCAGAGCAGCGGGAGGGGGTGGACCCAGTGGGTGGCACAGACATTTGGCAAGGCGGGGGTCCCAGGCCTGGAATCTGTAGGGAGTGAGGGGCGGGGCTGGGGGAGGTGTCTGGCAGTGTGGTTGTGGGGGTGGTAGGAGCAGGTGGAGGGAGGGAGTAGGTGGTGTCTTGGAAGAGGCGTGCATGGAGCCACTGCCCTGTTTTGCTCTCCCTCTCTTTCCCCACGCCTGCCCAGTGCCATGGTAACCAGGGCTGGTTGCCCAGGACCTGCTGGGGTGCCCACCTCACTGGGGCCTGCCTTCGAGAGCCCACAGCTCTCAATTCTTGGTTGGGAAGCACAGTAACTCCCTAGTTACTGTGGGAGTTGGGCAGGTTGACAGGGTCTGGTTCTTGCCCAGCCCTAGGGCACCCCCATCCTACTGAGTAACTCTGCTGAGACCATAGCTGCTCTTTCCAAGAGGCATGAGGGCTGGGGCGGTGCCTGGGGAGTGTGAGAAGTGTGCTTAACTGAAGCACAGCCTCTCTGCCGCCGCCTGCATCCGTCACACGAGCAGTTATTGAGTTCCGACCTGATGCCAAGTACTCCATCGCTCCGAACTGTGTTTTCTGCTCACAGAGTGCCGTGTTCTTTTTCCAGATCCTTTCACATTACTTCCCTTGAGCTACATTGTGTCATATATGTCCCTAGAAGGGACACGTGACAGGCGTTGATACTCCCATCTTACAGCTAGAAAGACAAAACTTTGGAAAAGGAAGTGACACAGAGTCTAGCACCAGGTCAGCAGCCTTTATTTATTTATTTATTTATTTATTTTGGAGAGGTTTTCGCTATAGGGCGCGTGCGCTCGCCAGACAGACAGAGAGAGACAGAGAGACAGAAAGCGAGAAATCACCCCCCAGAGGGGATGGTCACGCCGCAATCCCTTCTCCTCCATTCTCTTCTTGGGATCTTGGGCACACACGCACACGCGCCCGGCATGAGTTCTAAGCCATCGGGTCCGGGATGTGAACCGCAGTCGACTACGTGGGAGGCCAGCGACATAGCCATTACGTTAACTGCTGGTTCCCAGGTCAGCAGCCTTTATTGAACGTGCGCGTCCAGCCTAGAAACGTTACAAGCAACAAGTGGTTTAGGATGATGGACATATTGGGTTGTCAGAAAAGTCATGACATATTTTTCTATGCAAAAATGCATCACGACTTCCAAGAACACAATAACTCATCTGCCAAGCAAATAAACTTGGTGTGGATAGCAGAAAAAAGAACGTGGCTAGTTAGCACTTACAGGTACATTGCATGCACCGGGCCCAATGTGGACTGGGTTGTAGCATTTAGTCTAGCCCTATGAGTAGGGTCTGTTACTATGCCATATTTCAGATGAGGAAACTGAGACTGGGAAAGCTTTAGCAGATGGCTCTAGAGTGGTCCTGATCAATAGGACTTGCTGTGATGACGGGACGGCTGTGTATGTGCAGTGCCTGACATGGTAGCCACGAGCCACATATAGCTGTTGAGCACTTGCAGTGTGCCTAGAGGAACTGAGGAACTGACCTTGAAAACTCACTTCATCTTAAACATCTTTTTCTTGCTGGAGGGTATGTGCACTCATGCACATGCACAGGAGAGATAGAGACAGAGAGACAAAGAAAGCACCCCCCTAGGGGCCAGCGTAGTGGTGAAGGCATTGGACTCCTACATGGCCAACTATGGTCTGAGTTCTGGACCTGGTGGCTTGAAAATCACACGGGATGCATGTGTGTGCTTACGTGCTCCAAATCCCAAGAGGAGCATAGAGGAGAAGAAACCAGCATGGCTATACCTCCTGGGAGATGATTTCTCACTTTTCTTCTCTCTGTCTCTCTCTGTTGAGTGCATGTGCCCTACGGCAAAAACTGGTCCTGTTGGGATTAAAGCATGCCCAGTGGGATGTGATCATGCCACGATCCCTTCTTCTCCATGTCTGCATCTCGTCAGGATTTGGGGCATGGATGCACTTGTCCCCTGTGTGTTTTTCAAGCTGCTGGGACTGATATTTGAACCACAGTCGGTCATGTGGGATTCAGCTACCTAATCACCTGGCTTGACTGCTGAACTATAGGGCCAGCCCAAGTTCATTTTATTTCAATTACTGTGCATCTAAACGGTTGGAGCAGCCAGTGGGATGCTTGACACCAGGAGCATAGGGCCAGTTGGAAGCTGGAGCCATGACAGGAAGCCCTGCCTCTGGTCTCCAGGTCTACACTCCGAATGACCACACTGTCGAGTCCCCTGTCCCACTCCTCCAAAGAAGTGTTTCAAGATTAAGGTGGAAACATGCTCCTTGGCTCTTAAGGAGGGGACTGCCAGTGCCCCTGTGGGTGGGTCAAATTGAGGTTTCTTCTTCCTCTTGTCCCTCCCCTTGTCACACCTGTGACCCTACTTACTTCCTCACATATCCAGTGTGAGAACTGGGTGCTGGTCAGGAGGAAGGAGGAGGTGGGGAGCTCTGTGTACCTGGGCCTCCATCCTGCCACCTTCAGTCCTCCCCTCTAGTGCAAGTTGCATGTAGTTGAGCCGGTGGTTCTAGCATTTTCCAGCCAATACTTTGGCCTTTTAGCTGGCTGGGTTTTTTTTATCTGTAAAATGAGGGTCTTCATAACTCCTGGCCTACTTGGTAAGGTGCATAAGGCTCTGCGGGGAGGATGAGTGGGCTCAGGACATTGGATCTGGCTGGTGGATCTGGCTCTTGGATGTTCATTCAGGTCCCTAGGCCAGCCAGCAAGTGGTGGGGGCCAGCTGGTGGCATCATGGTTAAGACAGCTGGATCCCCTACTAAGTGAGAGATTCGAGTCCTGGACCTGGTGGCTTGAAAAACATTCAGGGTGCATGCATGTCCAAAGTCCTGGGAGGAGAATGGAGAGAAGGGATTGCAGCATGGCCATCCTGCTGAGACAGGGGAGTGGGGAGTGCTTTTCAGTTTCACTCTTTCTGTCTCTCTCCAGTGAGCACATATGCCCTGTAGCGATTTGTACAAGAAAAAAAAAAAAAAAAAAAAAAAGAAAGAAAGAAAGGAAGGAAAGGAGCTCATTTGGGTCCTACTCAGACAAAAA